AAGAAAGAAAGAAAGAAAGAAAGAAAGAAAGAAAGAAAGAAAGAAAGAAAGAAAGAAAGAAAGAAATTTTAAAATGTAAGTTAGGAGTGGGGAAGATGGCTCAGAAGGTTAACAGGCTCCCTGTGAAAGAGAAATGGCCTGATTCCCAGCAATCAAGTAAAGAAAGCCTGACACAACCTCATGTGTCTGCTAACTTTAGTGCTGCAGAGGCCTCTGAGACAAGAGGATCCCTGTAACTTACAAGCCAGTCAGTCTAACAGAAATTGGTGAGAAGTCTTGTCTCTGTGAGCCAGCCGCTTTAAGCAGTTCATTGCTCTGACTTTCTGGGATGAAAACATGAAACCAAACCACGGCCTGAAACTTGCAGAGCAAGTGCAATTTGGTAAGGATAATAGTGGCCCCGAGTTTATATGCTGTGGCATGATCAAGGCAACTATGGCAGCTTGGATATGACTGTCTGCAGAGAAGAGCCATAGGGCAAGCTAATTCCAGGGCAGGAGCAAGACAGCAGAGAAGGAAGAGATTCTGAGCTAGTTCTAGCCCAATAACCCTTTCCCTGCATGGTCTATGGGTGTGGGCCAGGCAAGTCCCTCCTTCTAGAAGCAAAGGGATCATGTTTCATCAGCATCTGTACAATTTTACCACTGGGGACAAAGCACTGCTTTCAAAGTCTCTCCCACTAACCTCAAGAGAAGGCTGAATATGCCCATGTACCCAGACAGGGAGATTCTGGCACTGTGCTTAGGGTAAAAATTGCTGTCATCTTCCCGGAGATGAGACCACATACACAGATGCTGAGTGGCCAGATGTCCCTTCTCTAACTCCATCTTTCTCTCATCTCTCTGATAGGGGCTGGCTCAGCATGGTGGCAGGAAGCTGTCTCTTACTACTGGCATGTGTGAGGGCTTTCAGGAAATGTTTGTGAGTGGAGGTCCAGGAAGAGGGGAAGCCTATCCAAGATTCCCACCCTCCCTCTCCCCCACTGGCTCTGTTAGATAAACCATCTCTGCTGTACTCTCCAGTCACCAGCCCTGTCCATTCTGCCTTAAGGAGACCATGGGCAGGCATAGTAGAAAGGGCTCTACTGTCTCACAGTCATTACAGTGAAAATAGCAGCTGGTGCTGCAGCCCTAAATAGGCACAAAACCCTAGTTACTCAGCCTCCAAAGGCCCTAAACAAAACCTCCATCTTGGGGCTAGAAAAATGGCTCAGTATTTCAAGTCACTTGATGCTCTTATAGAAGACCTAGGTTAGGTTCCTAGCACCCACATGGTGGCTCACAACTGTCTTTACTCTGTTCCAGGGGATCAGACACCCTGTTCTGGCCTCTACAGGCTCCAGCCATGCAGATTGTGAATATATAATACATGCAGGCAAATATTTGTAGGCATAAAGAAAAATAAATAAATCTTAAAAACAACAACAAAAATGAACCTTCTGAAGCAAACTTAGAAACTTAGAAACAATAAGTTTTATTCCCCTCATCACTCCCAGGCGCCCTCCTGGGAAGAACACAATCTGTCAATGTGACCCAAAACGGCTAAAGCAGCCAAGCCCCAAAGCCTGAAGCTTGCAAACAGTTACGGAAGTTTTAAATGGTTCTCTTAGCTAAACGCCCCTCTCTGGAGGGTACAGCTGAGGCTGAGCTAAATCTGCACAGCATCCTCCTGGTGCTCAGC